TAGGTAATCTAAGTAATAGATGACACAGGGTAGATGATATAGGTGACATACGGGTGGATAACATAGGATAGGTAATCTAAGTAATAGATGACACATGATAGATTATACAGGTGACATACGGGTGGATAATATAGGATAGGTGGGAGACTGCCATCCCAACTATTCTCCTTCCTCCAACTCAACCTTTTTTCCTCAACCTGTGATTGCAGCATTCCATAATTATAAGATTAAAGGGTTCTATGTGTACTGTTCTTATTTTCCTATGCATAATGATGTAAATAATGAGGATTGTTCCCCTGGGATACGGAACTTTTTTCTGTGTGTGTTCTAGTCTACCCATTCTCAAAACAGAAAAATGTTCATCTTGACCATTTTACTAGTAGTGTTAAATTTTACAATTTAAAAATCCTGTACCTGTGTATCTAGAAGCAGTCATCCTGAATTGAAATAAATTAAAGGTATCTTAATCTTTTCCTAATAGCTAAGACAGACATGGCCAGGAATTATCAATTGAATAATTCAAGAAAATTTTACCCTGAATGATTATCCATATTGCTCTTATTTTCTAAATAACTGAATTGCTCAAATCACTTTCTGTTTCCTGTATGAAACAAAATGATTAAAGTCTTAATGTTCTAGTCTATAATAAATGTTAATATGTTATTTCTTCTTTTGCTCTAAAAGCTTATAATTCAGTTTTCTGTGATCCAGGCTCAGCTATTCTTCCTTGAGTCAATACTGAGTTTTCAATTCCCTCAAACATATACACATCTTTATATGAAATACAGACACCCAGAGGACAAGCGTCAAAGCTATCTCAGGAACACCACATTAAAGGAATCCTGCTGGGAGTCATGGTTAGGACGGAAGCTGGAGTTAAACAAATGTTTAATGTTTAACATGGTTCCCAGAAAAGTGGCTATAGTATTAATCATTAACATCTGAAATTTATTAACTGGAAAAAAACCAAAAATCTATTAGACCAATATCCTGGCATCCCAACTTTGTGCAGAAGGCTCAGGGCCCTGAATCCAGACAGAAGCACTGCCACCAAAATCCCCTCCCTCAGGAGGGGCATGCAAACAGGGCCTGTACAGTGGTTTCTCTTAGTTTGTTGCTCCCTCTGATGCAGAGAAAGCTCAGGGGCTGGTCCCATGAATAGGGTGGGGGCTTAGATATATAGAGATCAACACTCACCTTTAAGCCTGGCGTTCTTATCCACCCAGTCGCCGATGATGGCTCCCAGGACCAGAACAGACCCTGCCACCACCAGCCCGTAGACTGCAGTCAAGAGGAGACTGTTTCCATAGAGCTCTACGAGAAACACAGACACCGCGAAGTGCCACATGCGATCTCCCTGGAACAAGGAAAAATGTTTGATGAACATTTTTAGTCTGTAGTCCACTGTACACAGAAATTTATTTTCCTACCTAAAGAGCACTTTCTAGCCACATCAGAAGACTTTCAAAATCAATAATTACTCTATGGATTGAATACTAGTAAGATATTAAAACTGTTCATCCCAACACAATGGAAAATATTCTTGCCCGATTATTATGGAAACTGAAAAGCATAATGCTAATGAAATATATTCTTATTCTTCTAGAAAAAAAATGTAGCTTCCAGACCTAAGATGGATTTTTGAGAACAAACCATTTCTCTCATGTGCCAAGTTTCTCTCCAGGCTTGGTATTTGCCTATCTTGACTGGAAAGGCATAAAGTAGTATAGTTTATAAAGTAGTATAGTTTATAAATATCGGTATACCTTGAATGTCTAGAAAAAGTCAGTTTCCCAATTTGTAAATGATAGGAGTAGGCTATATGATCTCTAAACTTTCTTTCCCCAATAACATTCTAAAATATACGCCCTGTTTCACAAATAAAATTCAAAGTCATAAAGCAGCAGAACAATCAGAAAGATGAAATTAAAAGGACAGATTCTGGCACTGCATTGTCAAAGTTGTCCAAATAAAGTTGAATGTATAAGTGGTTAATGTTTTAATACAGATGAGTTTTGAAGGGAGAAAAAAACCTATTTCTTCACACCGGTCCAGAGTATATTTTTAATTTTAGAATTCATTGCTACAAAATTTGGTATAAGTTTAAGAGAAACTTTGAAATAAATCATGAAAGTTAATACACAAGAAATCCATAATTGACCTTATTATGAAATTTTAAGGTCCACCCTGACTTTTGGGCTTAATGTGAAGAAGGACAACATTCTATCACAACCTATCCCTCAAAATCACTGCAGGACACTAAATTCCCAGGAAGAATTTCTTTCCAGATTTGACCTATGTGGAAATACTGGTATTCTTTGATCGTCACAAAGTCTGTGAACATAGTCAAGATAAATTTCACGTATTGGAAGCAAATTATTATCCTGGTAGGTCAAATTATTTTAAAACATTAATAAAGTTAAGATAACAAACTTAAACATTGGAAACTTCAATTGATACATGCTAGCAACCATTTACAATAAACTTCATGTAGACCAGTACTTCTAACTGGGGATGATTTTACCCTCCAGAGGTCATTTGTTAATGTCTGGAGTTTATTCTGCATTGTCGTAACTGCAGGGAACAGAGCAGAAAATACAACAGGCATCTACAAGGCACAAGAGAACTGTAGAATTTTCTGGCCCAAAACATCACTAGAACAGGTTGGCAAAGGATTATGAACATAATTTTGAGCCAGGATTTAAAATTAACGTAAGATTAAAACCTTGAGGGATGAGGTGGAAATTATCACAATTCCCAAACAGTTTTGATTTTAAGGAGCAATAAATCCTATGCTCAAAAAAAGTTCAAGAATGAGGTAGCATCTAAGTAAACACTGACCAAGTCCAGACCCATTCCTCCCTTACTTCAAGCCTACTCTTTCCTGCTTCCATTTTCTGCCTCCCGTGTGCTCTGCCTTACTTGATGACTTGTTTACATGCCCGTCTACCCCCACTGGATCTACGAATGAATGCCCATGGTCATTAATCCACTTAATAAATACCTATGGAATGGCTACTATGTGCACAGCACCACTGTAAACACTAGAGCTGTAGCAGTGCAAAAAAATCATAGCCCATGGTTTCAGGCAGCTTGCATTCCAATGCTCACAGACCAAAGACAAATCTAGCACAGGTCAGGAAGTGTAAGTGCTATGGGGAAAATCAACACAGGATGGGACTGGAATGTGCCATTTTATATGGAGTGGTGACAGAGGCGTCTATGAGCAGAAGTGAGGCCTGGAAAAATGCAGGTACACCAGGGTATAACTTGGGACAGTCTGTGGGAGGATGATATAAGATATTAGTAACTGGGTCCTCTTTTCTCCTTGTCTTACACTTTTTTCATGAGCAAATACTTTTCAAAAGTTGGTGCTAAATTACATTATGAACTCCTTAACAAAATGATCCGCTTCTTACACTATTTTGTATTCTGACAGCACAAAGTGAAATGTATTGATCTATTGGCAGACAGAAATGAAGTGTGAAATCAAAAGCATTCAACCCCACACACACCTAACCTGAGAAAATCTTCTACCTTAAGGCCCCATGTTCAACGAGTAGGAAATCATGTTTGGTGGGGTTGGCAGGGGAATGGATAGAAAGATGTGCATAGGTTATGTTGTAATAAAGATCACTGTGCCACCCCAAAGACAAAGCAGAAGTGGAGTTACCTAGAGACAGCTTTCCTCTCTTGCACTCCTGTGAGCAAGAGGTAAAAATCCATTAAACCTTATATGGCTGTGATTGCCCTTGTTTTTTAATCCAAGAACTCCCTTTGTTCAACTTACTGTAAGGTTGGGACAAGCATCTGTCACCTTGATTATGGAATTATTTTTTAAGATCCTTAATAAAAGTTCTTTTCAAGTTAAAAAAAAAATCCTCTTAAAACAACCACAGCTCCACTCATGTTTTTAGCAAATCTCCCACCGAATCTATCAACCAATGTCACATAAACCCTACATCAATCAGTATTTGGAAATAAGGCACGCTGTTCCTCTAAGGGCTACATCCAGACCATAAGCTGAGAGTTTCAGACACCATTTCCCTTACTTATTGGTGATCTTTTTAATACTTAACACTTATTTTATTAAATTGGAAGAACAAATGACTGGCTTGGATTTAGGAAGAGTTGTTTCACTAGGTTTCTACTGAGACTCACTGGCTGCTGGGATTGAAACCAACACATACCAATTCCACTTTGTTGACATTTATTTGCAGAGTCATTCTTGCATAATCCTCTGAGAAGACAGGAGCTTGCTTTTCTGAAAAGTCATCTCTGAACTGCTATTTCTTAGAAATACAGTAACTTGGCTTAATAATTTCCCAAGGGCATAGAGTATAGATTTCCTCATGGAATGATTCCATTTATCTTAAGGATGACCCAATAGAAATTTCCAATTTAGAAGGAAATTAACACGGTAGTTTACTCTTAAAATTATTTCTCTTTATGTATGGTTCCTTTAAACTTCATATATGAAGCATGCATGGAATATACTCAGATTTATATCTTTTAAATAGTAAGAACAATTGTTTAATTTTTAAAGATTCTAATCATCATTCATTGAACATACAACCAGTATCCTTCCAGGATTATTCTTTTTTAGGGAGAGTTGATAGAAAAAACATAGGCCAACAGGAATACTGGGATTCTTCCAAAACCATGTTAGAAGTCATAAGGAGAGCTATGAATGAGTTACTGATTTTCTAATTCTCAGTAGATGGTTTTTAAGATAGCTTGTAGTGCCTACATATTATGTAACCCCAGATAACATTTTTAAAGCCCAGAATTTTTGTCTCTCAAAATATTTGACCTTGGGGCTATGTATATTTTAATTAATTCTAAAATGCCATTACGAGGCTAAGTCAGTCACTCCACCACTCCACCGTATTTTCATAGTGCTGCATGCGGGAACTAAATTTTTAAGAAAAGAAGAAAACAGAAGCATCTTAAACTCTGAAACGACAGGAGGTATTTGAAACACCCTCCTTCTGATTCTTAGTAGAAATCACCATTTGCTGAGCATAGTATTGCAAATACCATTTATAAACGATGCAAACATCCCTGTCTTTGTTAACCCTGTCTTTGGACAGCTGTCAATGTATATAAAGTACAATAACTTGATAA